ATGAGTGAAACTCCGTCTCAAAAAAAAAAAAAAAAGCACTAAGGTTGTCTTAAGGGCAGTAATTAATGAATGACTCAGAATCATCCCGAAAATGGACACAAGATTGTGATATAAAGTGCAGATATATTTATCATTAGTTTTAATTTTTTAAGTAAATTAATCTAGAGTTAATTTGCGAAACGATTAATCCTATGCAATGAGAAACACAATTAGAAATATTAAGTTGATATGACACATAAAATGTGAGTAAATGAAAAGAGTAAAACAGAAAAAACACTTCAAAAAGCCATCTAATTATTGAAACAAACTGGCGTTCAGAGATGGCTTTTGTTGGTTCAAATCAGGATGGAGTTGATAGTAAAATACAATTAACATATCTTAGTGAGAAAAAGATAAAGTAGCAACAAACTGGAGAGATTCACTAGGCATATAAAATGTAGATAAAATAAGATATCAAGAATAAACACAGTTCATGACAGCATTGTTTATAATACACTGACTATTTAAAGTAAATATAATAATGTATTGGGGGTTATAATATGCATGACAAATATAGAACAAAAGATGAAAATGTAGTAGAGGAATGCAAGTATATTGTAAGGCTCTTATACTTAAAGTGGTCTAATACTATTTGAAAGTATACTGTGAGACAGTAAAGATGCACATTAGAATATTACAAAGTCTAGATCAACCACTTTAAAAAAGGAACAAAAAGATACAGCTAATGAAGGAAATAAATGAAATACCAAAATACATACACACTCACACCCCTACCTCTCGTTCAATCTTATAACAAGCACAAAAAGAAGAAAAGGAGGAGGATCCAAGACGGCCAAATAGGAAAAGCTCTGGAGTGCAGTTCCCAGCAAGAACAATGCAGAGTGTGAGTGATCACCACATTTCCAAATGAGTTTTCACTGCCCACAGACCAGGAGATTCCCAGGCCGAAAAGCACCATGTTTCCAGCGGCTGTTTCAGCCAGTGTCACGGGATGGCACACAAAAACTCACACAAATCTGGGCGGCCGTTTCAACTGGCACCTGGAATTCGCCTGGGAGACAGAGCTGCCCATTCAACTGAAAGGGAGGGGGTTGAGACTGGGAGCCAGGTGATCTGGTTCAGTGCGTACCCCTGCACAAAACAAGCAATCTGAAATACTCTGGATTGAGAGTTGTGCAGCAAGCACAGCTGGACCCAGGACAGTCCACCTGGGTGAGGGGAAGGGCATCCACCACTACCGAGGCAGTTCTAACTGTACCTCTATAAACAACACCTTAAGGAAATTCACATAGCAGCTTGGCAGACCCTGCGGCAGCTCAGCAACGCCTCTGCTGGCAGACTGTGAATAGACTATCTCCTTGTGGAGCAGGGCATCTATGAAAAAAGGCAGTAGCACGTCAGGAACTTATTAATAAAGCCCCACCTTCCTAAGACAAGAACCTGGGAAAAGAGGCAGTTATGAGTTCCGCTGCAGCAGACCTAAACGTACCTGCCCAACAGCTCTGCATGGAACGGAGCTCCCAGCACAGCACTTGAGCTCCTATAAGGGACAGACTATCTCCTCAAGCAGCTCCCCAACCCCCATATACCCAAAGAGACACCTCATAAAAGAGAGCTCAGGCCGACATCTGGCAGGTACCCTTCTGGGATGATCATAACAGAAGAAACTGGCAGCAACTCTTAATGTTCTGCAGCCCCTGCACGTGATCCCCAGGCAGGCAGGGTCTGGAGTGGACCTCCAGCAGTCCTGCAGCAGAGGGGCCTGTTAGAAGGAAAACCAAGAAACAGAAAGAAATAGCTTCAACATCACCAAAAAGGATGTCTACTCAGAGACCTTATCCAAAGGTCACCAACTACAAAGACCACAGGTAGATAAAGCCACAAAGATGGGAAGAAACCAGCGCAAAAAAGATGAAAACACCAAAAACCAGAACACCTTTCCTCCTCCAAGGGATCACAACTCCTCATCTGCAGTTTGGTCAAGAAGAATCTTTGTCAAATGAGATACTGGTTTGTAGCCACTACAATAATTACAAGTATTGGTGAGGATGTGAAAAAATTGGAACCCTTTTACACTACTGTGAGATGTAAAATGGTAGCACTTTAGAAAAATTTTCTGGTAGTTCTTCAAAAGATTAAACGTAGAGTTATCATATGATCCAGCAATTCCACTCCTACACACTCAAGAGAGCTGAAAACATATGTCCACAACAAAACCAAACAGATGGATGGATAAACAATGTGTGCTATAGCCACATATGGATGAATGGAATGGTATTTACCCATAAAAAGGAATTAAGTATTGATAAATGATACAACATGGAAGAGCCCTTGACATTTTGATTTTTTTTTTTTAAAAATGGATAAGCCTTAACATAAATATAAGTCTAAGGAACCAGACACAAAAGACCACATATCATATGATTCCCTTTGTATGAAATAGCCAGAATGAGCAAATCCATAGAAACAGAAGAGAGACTGCCTAGGGTTGGGGAAGGGAAGATTGTGGAGAAATGGAGAATGACTACTAATAAGTATGAGATTTCACCCCAGAACCTAAAGTGCAACAATATATATATACATAAAAGTTGGAAGACTCACACTTTCCAATTTCAAAAC